AAAGAACCGGAAGATATGGAAAAATATGGGGAATCCTGTTCTTTGTAGCCATTGATTCGCGTGTTCCAGGGCTCCTTCAAGGTCCCACTCGCCCCCGCGCTCGCCGCCGAGCATCAGCGGCAGGCCTTCCGACTGCGTCGGCCCCTGGCTCGGCGGGGGCAGCGGCGAGAGGCCGAAGAGGCCCCGCGCCGCGCCGGGCCCCGGCCAGGGGCCTCCCTCCCGGGGCCCACCCCGTGGCGTCGGGGACGCACCGCAGTCCTCGATCCTTCGGCCTCCTCGATCCTTCGCCCTCCTCGATCCTCGACCCTCGTCCACGATCCTCGGTTCCTCGGCCTCCTCGATCCTCGATGCTTCGCCCTCCTCGACCCTCGTCCACGATCCTCGATCCTTCGCCCTCCTCGATCCTCGATCCTTCGCCCTCCTCGATCCTCGACCCTCGTCCGCGATCCTCGATTCTTCGGCCTCCTCGATCTTCGATCCTTCGCCCTCCTCGATCCTCGATACTTCGCCCTCCTCGATCCTCGATCCTTCGCCCTCCTCGATCCTCGATCCTTTGCCCTGCTCGATCCTCGATCCTTTGCCCTCCTCGATCCTCGATCCTTCGGCCTCCTCGATCCTCTATCCTTCGCCCTCCTCGATCCTCGATCCTTCGGCCTCCTCGATCCTCGATCCTTCGCCCTCCTCGATCCTCGACCCTCGCCACGGCGATCGCCGCCGTTGCCTCGGTGGTCTGCGGGCGTTCCTGGAGGTCCTCGCGACGCCAACGGCCGGGCACGGCTCGGAGAGAGCTCTGCCGCGCCTGGCAGGCTCTGATCCGGCAGCGGGGACCCAGCCGGCGCGGCGGATCCTGCAGGATCCTGCAGGATCCTGCAGGACCCAGACCCCCTCGAGCTACGACAAGGTCACGACGGGCGGTTCTCCCCTGCTCTCGGCCCCTCGGGGCCTGGCACGCTCTGAGGCGGGGGGGGCAGTGGAGCAGCGGGGGCGAGCCGTCGCGGCGGATCTTGCAGGATCCTGTAGAGCCGTTCGAGGCCGCGCAGGGGGGGGGGGGGGGGGGGGGCGGCGATATCAAGGAGGGGGGGCCGAAAAAAGGGGCCCCTTCCAGGGGCCCCTCGGGGGCCCAAGAGGGCGCCTCTGGGGCCCGAAAAGGGTACACCTCGTCCCCCCCGCATCGATCGCCTCCCCTGGAAAAAACTTGCTTCGCAACCGAGAGCCAGGGGCGCACTGGCCAGGGCCGGCGCGCAGGATCCTGCAGGCATCCTGCAGGGATCCTTGCAGGATCCTGCGCAGCCCGACGGCCCCGGGGTTGCAGACCCCCCGATGTCACGATTTTTATCGCAACGTCGACCCCCAGAGGTCTCGGCCCATACAGTCAACCCGCATAGTAAGGATGGGCAACCTTCCCAAGGGTATACCCTTGCATCCTGGCCTCCTCGGTCCATCCTACGCCGCTTTCGCTGGCCGCGCCCCGCTCGAAAAGCTTCGGAATGGGCGTCCAAGGCCCCATCCTTATCGCGAATCCTGACTATACTGGTTGACTGTGTCCCCGGGACCGGTTCTTCATCCTGGGCCATTGTTTGCCGGCCCCGAGGCCCGGGAAGGGCCCCGAGAGGCCGAAAGCAGGGAAGAACCGCCCGTCGTGACTTTGTCATAGCTCGAGGGGGTCTGGGTCCTGCAGGATCCTGCAGGATCCGCCGCGCCGGCTGGGTCCCCGCTGCCGCACTGCCCCCCCGCCTCAGAGCGTGCCAGGCCCGGCAGAGCTCTCTCCGAGCCGTGCCCGGCCGTTGGCGTCGCGAGGACCTCCAGGAACGCCCGCAGACCACCGAGACAACGGCGGCGATCGCCGTGGCGAGGGTCGAGGATCGAGGAGGGCGAAGGATCGAGGATCGAGGAGGCCGAAGGATCGAGGATCGAGGAGGGCGAAGGATCGAGGATCGCGGAGGCCGAAGAATCGAGGATCGCGGACGAGGGTCGATCGCGGACGAGGGTCGAGGATCGAGGATGGCCCAGGATGGCGAAGGATCGAGGATCGAGGAGGGTTTGCAGGGTCGGGGCCTGGGGGGGAGAGGGGGGGGGGAGGGGGGGGGGCAAGGAGGGGGGGCGGCGGGGGGGCGAGAGGAGGGCGAGGGGCGGGGGGCGAGGGATGGGGGGGGGGGCGGAGGGGGGGGGGCGCGAGGGGAGGCGGCGGGGGGCGGGGGGGCGAGGGGCGGGGGGGGGGCAAGGGGAAGGGGGCGAGGGGAGGGTCGAGGTCTAGGAGGGCGAGGGATCGAGGATCGAGCACCCTGAGATCCTGGCGTGGCAATTATTTCACGACGGGCATTTGCGCTCGATTTCGGGCCCCGTGGCCCTCACTCATCGATCTGGCTCGAAACATGACGCAGGAGGATGTGGCCCGGGGTTCTGGTCGTGATTTTCCGCGATGCTGCTTGTTTTTTGTTTGCAACGTCGGATCTCAGGAGAAATCGAAGGATCGAGGATCGAGGATCGAGGAGGCCGAGGGGTCGAGGATCGAGGAGGGCGAAGGATCGAGGATCGAGGAGGGCGAAGGATCGAGGATCGAGGAGGGCGAAGGATCGAGGACTGCGGTGCGTCCCCGACGCCACGGGGTGGGCCCCTGGAGGGAGGCCTCTGGCCGGGCGGCCGGGGCGCGGCGCGGCGCGGCGCGGGGCCTCTTCGGCCTCTCGCCGCTGCCCCGCCGAGCCGGGGGCCGACGCGGTCGGAGGGCCTGCCGCTGATGCTCGGCGGCGAGCCCGGGGGGGATTCGGTGGAAAATCATGGGTCAGAGGAGGAAAAGGTACCCATACCTCTACCCTTCGGCGGTTTTCCGATTTTTCGGCCTCCTGGGAGGTTCTCGTCGCCACCGTTGGATTCGCCGCGAAATTCTGGTGATAACGCTCCCCGGGAGAGGTCCGGGGAGTAGCGGTATCGGTACCTTCTGGTTTCCCCAATGGGAGCCTGGTATACCCTCTGAATTCCGTCTATAGCGTCGATTCGCGTCGACTAACGTTTGGAGTCGATGGGCTGGCGCCGATTTAGCGTCGGCTAGCGGCTAGCGTCGGTTTAGCGTCGATGAGCGTCGATTTGGCGTCGATTAGCGTAGATTTGCAAGAGCCGGCAAGATGGTATGGGAGGCTCCCATGAGCTGCCACCGAAGCGGGAGTCGGACACAGAGATCCGAGGATCTGATTTCTCAATCCAGCGTTTTTGCCTAGTTTTCGGGCTCCGATGCCCGTCATCATCGGCCCAGGACCATCAAACATGGATCCAGGACGAAAGCCCCCCCCCCCGGCAGGACCCAGACCCCCTCCATAAAAAAAGGAAAAACTAATCACGACGACGCCAGATTTTTCGCAGTTTTTGGCCTCCGGGAGCCCTCGCCAGGCCTCGGGGCCGTCAAAAAGCGATTCGGGAAGGAATGCTAGTTCCGGGGAATGGGTCGAGACTTCTGGGGGTCGACGTCATAAAAAGATCATGACGTCGGGGGTCTGGGCGGCTTCGGACGGGGCTAGGACGAGAAGAAATCCGTTCCTGAGCGTTCCGGCACTCTCCGACAGCGTTCGGGAACGATCTGAGAAGGCCGCGGCGCCCGGGACATCTTCCAGAGCCGCCGAATCCCAGAGATTCTCGATTTATCTTCACCCGACTTTATCCTCTTCCTGACTTCGTTTTCGGGAGGGCAGAGAAGGCGGGCCTTCTCAGAAGGCTCGGAGGTTCCCCGGCCTTCTGAGACATGTTCTAAGCCCCCCCGAAGTCACAGGCAACTTCACAGAAGGCTGGAGGGCTTCTAAGAAGCCCCGCCGCCTTCTCAGATGGATGGCCTCCTCCTCATTTGATCCCCCTCGCTCGCCGCCGAGGTGCACCGACTGGTAGGCGCAGAGGAGCGACGAAGGAAAACGGGCTCGCCTTCACCGACGTTGGCGCGTAAGCTGCCCGCGCAAGATCGCTCGTGCGCGCCCTCGCCTCTAATGCAGCGTGCTGCGCCGGCGGCCCGCGCAAGCTGCGGCTTTAAGGATGCTGTGGCATCTCGCGTAAGACCCCGTTCTTTTCGCCACACAGCCGCAGTCAAAGCGCACAGCAAGGATGAGCGACTTTCCAAGGTTGCCCTTGCATCCTTCCCCTTCGGCCCATCCTTGGCCACTCCTGCCAAGGCCGTTGCATCCTTATCGTGCATTCTCCTTCTGCGCTTCCCAAGATCGTGCATCCTGATCGCGCATCCTCATTCTCCTCACCATGGCCTTCCGAGTCCCTTGCGTCCTCATCCCGCATCCTCGTCGTGCATCCTCCTCGTGCCAGCGCGCTGGCCCTGGTGCTCGTGCGCCATGGGGCGCAGCCAGCGCGGGCTCTTCTCGAAGCCTCCTCCTCCTCCTCTTCCTCCTCCTCCTCCTCCTCCTCCTCCTCCTCCTCCTCCTCCTCCTTGTCATCCTCCTTCTCCTCCTGCTCCTCCTCCTCCTCCTTCTCGTCCTTCCTCCTCCTCCTCCTCCTCCTCCTCCTCCTCCTCCTCCTCCTCCTCCGGCGC